TGCGACGTATGCGGTTACGTCATACCAAGGCCTGAGGGTAAGTGAACGAGAGGAAGTGGAACTACTAATGAAACGCAGCCTGGGTGTCACCAAATCAACTGGGACTGACTTACATTACATAACAACACCTGTGTCTGTTATTCAACAATGAACGAAACAATTAAGTAACAACTGTCAATGTCAGACAACCTTATCATACTCTAGCAGTTAACTAGTGTTTTTGTTGTGCTGACAAAATATTAAAAATGTACATATTGGCAGTTTGAATTCAAAAGCCCCCTACACCAAACTACAATAATGATAAACTGTATTCCGTACAAACTTACCCGCTCAGCTCAGCTCGCTCAGCCTCTGTTGCAGCTGCACTCTTTCAGTGAGAAAGAGCATGGGAATGAGAGTCTGACTGTTTCAAATATTGAGATTTCTCAATAAAATAAGTGATGGTTGGTGGACTGGATACACGCCAAATTGAACACGACTCATAAAACTGTTAATTCACTGTCTGTTATTTGAGTGTGATTTTTGTTTTTGCTGCTTCCTGCCTTGTGCTAGAGAGAGAGGTAGTGCTTATAACTTTAAACATCTCCTTATACATTCAATACTTGAACACCTGTACTGTTAAATACTTAATGTAGAATCTATTGTGAAAAGGACATTTTTTAAATTCACTCCTCTAACTGTAATGTTTCACATCGGTAATTCAAATCATTTTTGTCCCTTTTGTCGCAGGTCTTGAAGCCTGTGGAAACGGTCTTCTCCACTATACATGTTGAGCTCCCTGATCCAGATGACACCAAAGCATGGTCAGTATGGCTGCACTAGTACATCAACAATACGATACATTTCCATTTATATGTGATTTTGTTTTGATAGTTTAAGTAACCAGGTCCTCTGTATTCAGGTGGAAGGGGTCACTGGGAGACATCAGCACTGGGAGCCCTCAGCAAAGCAGTGGAATCAGCACTGGCTCCTCTTGTCTCAGTTATGCTAACACAGAACCTGCTGACATTATAGCCGTTGTTCAGGATGCCCTTGGTAAAGCCTTTCCCAATATAAGCCCAATATCGCCTATGAAGACCATCCCTATTCCAGAACCAAACAAAGACAGTGGTTTATTCTCGGCTCCCTACAACTTTTGTGGTGTCAGAGCCGATGACATGAGCTCTGGATCATCTATATTTGAAAATAAAACCTATTCCATCCTCATTCCCAGCTTCCTACAGCAGATTACGACAGACAGCTCTGAAGTCCAGACGCAAGCTAAAATGCCTTGTGACTCTGGATACCATCCTAGTGAGGGTGACATTGTGATCAGTGCGGACCAAAAGGTACCAGCTTGCCCGCTTGTTTCTTTATCACCAGCAGTTTCAGCTCTTATGCCAACAGACATGTCCTATCAGCAGTGCAATGCAGACTCTGGGAGATTTTCATATGCAGAAGACTCCAGTTTGTCCTCCATCTCCAGTGGCACCAACACAATTGCGTCATGTGACCCTGTGTCCAGAGTTGAGACTGGGTGTGAGAGCTCTGATGAGGCGGTTGGTGATGCCGCAAAGCTAAATGGAAAAACTGATGAAAATCCCTGCTACGGCTGTGTGCCAGCAGGCTCACACAGGTTTCCCCCAGTGGAAGACGACTACCAGTCATTTCAAAATCTTGTGGACCAGACTGATATTTTGTTTCCAGAGAAGAGAGGTGGTGAAGAAGAGGAACATTTGAGCAAATATCCAGAGCAATCCTTCGCCAAGATGCCTCAAAGCTTCTTTAGCCCAGTGGTTCCAAGTTTCATCAATAACGTCCAGGCAGGCCAGTGTCTGTCTGAGCTCCAAACACCTTTTATCTCTTTGATCTCTGCCGACCAGTCTATGCCAGTGATCACAGACGGCGGCTATCAGAGTGTGTAGCACTGAAATTTTAATGCATTCACTGTTTTGTGTGAGTGCTTCTTTAAATTGTAAACATTGTTGGGAAAAGTCGAAAATGAGAGGGAGGAAAGGAAAGATAGAACAGACTGAATGGTGTTCAAATCAGTAACACTCTTAACTCAAGGTCCATAGTTGTTCCTAAACAATCATTCAATCATACCACATGATATTTATCAATAGATGTTTGTTTTTATGGAATTTTATTTCAATGATATTGCCCGTGCAAGTCACAGTGAAGATCGTGTGATATGATCAAATTCAGTTGGTGTTTTGACATGTGATATGACTGTTTTAAAGAATGTTGTAGATATCACATCTTTGAACCTTAAGAACATATAATATTTGTTTGAGCTTTAAGTACTTTGCAACTGTATATGGCTGCCTTTGATGTAAACTATCCATACCGTTTTGTACAACATTCATGTAAAGCTTTTGTGAAAAACAGAATGCACTTGTTTTAAATGTGTTAAGAAAATGCTCAGCTTATCTATCTCACATGTCATATTCAACTATATTCAACATTTTTCATCACATTTAAATCGACATAGCTCGATTGTGTGTTGTATAAAGCTGTGAGGAAGACTGCCTGAAACGTGTCTAACCGTGTAGTTTAGTTTATCATTTTTATTATTATTATAATTATATATTATGTATTCACTTTTTAGTATTAGTAAGGCTAATAAGTGGTAAGTGAAATATTAGTTAACAGACGAACAATCTCTGAGCTACATTTGACTAGGGAAGTTATCTTTTATCACAAAATTTGCATGTGTACTTCAATACTTTTAATCTCGTCTTTCAAGGAAAAATACATCATAGCTAACAAAAAAATCTTTGTCTGAAACAAGCTACAAAAATGATCAGTCATGCGGCGCAGTTGTTATTCTGGGTTGTGAAACGACTTCCTTATTTTTCTTCTCTGGAACTGGTGAGCCACTTCTAAAGAAACACGTCACCCTCAAACAGTATTGCAGCAAACACAAACGGCACTTCTACAGAAACACACTTGGAGAGTGTTGGAGCAGAGACGTGTAACTCAAAGGAATTAATATTATAATTAATATTAATATAATATATAAGAAGTAAAACAAATATATACTAATACAAACAGTTATACAAATGACTAGTAAGGTACATTTCTTTGGTTCTGAATAGTTTAAATGAGTTGTACATTTTGTGACTGGATTATCCTGAGTTTTGTTTGTTTCAAAGAGATGTTGCTGCTGAGTTTTCAATGTTTCAAATATACAACAAGCAGTTGTATTGTTGTGAGGACATTTTTGATGTCCCAGCAGAGAACATTAAACCTAGATGGTGTGAGAAAATGTGTGTTTTTGTGACCTCAAGCAGTTTAACTTATCTCGTTATTTTGTCCCACCTTAAGTACAAAAATGCCAAGTTGTATTTCCTGTTGAAACTGTTTTTTGGGGGAGGACATCATTTGGGAAGAAATATTTAAAAAGTGGCACAGAAAAATTGGGGAGGGCAGAGAGGTGGGACTTTTTACAATTAGATATGTCAGCTGTCAGTTGAAAGTGCAAATTAATTGACCATTAAATATTTTGTTAATATTAATATAAACAAAAATAACATAATTATAAAATGGCATAATATTATAATATATAATAATATAAAGATTATATTATATAACTTTATACACTACTGTAACACGTAAAATATATGAAGATATCCTTTTAATAGAATTACACAATTGTATAATAATGTGACATAATAAATCAATTGATTTTATAATAATATAAAATAGCAGAAATGTCTAATTGTTATCATATGTTCTCAAAACTGTACCATGAGAATGACTTAATGCAGAATACTGTTTCAGTGCCACTAAAATGAAGACAGTATTTTGGCTGATAGTGAGTTATCTACAAATAATATACTTTAATGTGACTGAAGCTACATAATCAAACTTTATTGAGCAACTTTCAAAAATAGGTTTACAAAGTGCTTTTACAGGGTAAAAAACACACAAACAACAACACACTAAGAACCATAGCACCATCAGTAACACAAACAATATATGAGGTATATGAAGTTTTTGATTTATTAAACAGAATAATCCTTTTTTCATTTGAATTTCAAAAGTAAAGAAACCTGTTGCAACAAGTAGGCTCCAGCAGTAGTATCAGTCACATACAGTGTTAACTCTGCCTCCACCTGATAGTCTTACATGAATACTGTCTCACTGCTGCCACTGTAAACTGTAGTGGAACCACATGAAAAACTGCATGGTCACCTGTTTCAGCTCTTACTTTGACCCGACAGGTGACTCCTGCATGCCAGAATTTAATTCCAATTCCAATGATTAAATGCAACACATAAACATACTTTAGATTTAGAATTTTGCTGAACTTGCTGTCCTCAGTAATACTGTAGGCAAAGCATTAAAAAACCTGTACAAGGAGGTTCACAACTCTTTACTCTATCATAATCCACCTCAGATTCATTTATGAAGAGAACAACCTACAGTATACAATATATACAGTATTTCCTGTAATTGGAGGAGCCGGTTTGGGAGGAGGGCGAGGTTGTCATAACTGGGAAAGTCGTTGATTGGAAGAATGCAGTGAAGGAGGAAGGCTGTCCCAGAGTAACCTGATTTAGTTTGAGCTTCTTGGAAGTTGTCTGTTATTGCTAGCCAGGGACGCATCTATACACCTTTCTACACACCTGAAGCATGCAACAACCAGGCCGGCTGAGGCTGAGGCCGTGGCTGGAGGAGCAGATTCAGTCTGGGAGGTATCCAGGAGTCAGTTGGCTGGACCAGGTAGACCCTTCCATCTCAATCTCATCCCATATGCACACATGCACACACAGCTGGGTTTAAAACATTTTGTGGCAAATCAAAACAGTTTGGGAAGTGTACGCGGAACAAAGCATGAATAATGAAATACTCTTGTAACCTACACTATTGAATGCGTTTATTCTTTTATTTAATTCTACAGTCAGCACAGATTTTTCAAATCCCGTGGAAGCATGCAGCACGTCATGGCTGGAGTATTGACAGAGATGCTACACTCTTCAGGAGTTGGGCCATGCACACTGGTAGGAGCCACACAGACATATATGTGTTTTATATCTACTTTTTATTGATGGCTTATTCTATCTTTACTAATACTAAGAGCCGCAGCACTACAGCTGAGCTATATCGTCGAAAGCAATATCATGATATTAATGAGAATGTTTTGGGTTTTTTTTTAAGTATTTTTTGGGGCTTTTATTGATAGTGTCAGCTGAAGGTAGACAGGGAAGGGGGGCATATTTACTCTATTTATATGTATATGTATATATTAATAATTAATACAAATTTTATTATTTTTATTAATTTTTTAAAAGCTTATTTCAAGGAAATAATACAATAACAATAATATTGAATTCTCATTCAGGACAACAACAAACGTTTTACAAATGAAAACGACCAAAAGTGACTGACCACCTCTTTACTCCCTGTTAAGAGCCTTTAAGGCCTCTTGTCTTTGTTTGTATTTGCCATTTTGTCATTCATCATTTGCACTGGCAGCTTGCTGGCTAAGACGCATATAATTTGTTAACATCCCTAATTGAATATTAGTTTTACTGTATGACTTCATTATCCTCAATAAGAAGGAAAAAAAGATACGTTTCTAAGTGTTATCTAAAGTTAAAAATGTGCCTGCCCACCAGTTTTAAATTATTTAACGTTAACTAGCATTTGGCCATTTTCACTGCATTTTGGAAATGTATACCAACTATCCTGATGAGATCTGTCTGCAAACCTGTTTCCTGCACAGTGGAAATCTTTCCTGAGAAGAGCAGCCATGAGTGCATTGTTCATGTTTTTCTAGATCTACCACATTCCCAGTTTCTTGATATGCGATGATAATTGCATAGTAACAATTAATAACACCAGTGTTTGCCAATTAAATGTACAAATTTGTTTATTTACATCCACTAGCTGCTACCAAGGCACTATTCTTCCAGGTAATTTCAGCAGCAGACTTAAACTGTTATCGTTTTTAAGGATCTCAATTCAATACAGACAAGTCCCTTTAATGACAGTTCAATACTAAAGACATTTCAATACATAGATTGTATAACTTTTTAGCAGATAAAACTAATAAAAACCTCTTAAACCTTTTAAACATTTTTATGAAATAATGATTTTCATTATGTCAGCTTTAGGGGGTGCTGCAGTCCCTTCTGTACCACTGCTTATAGCACCCATGCCTGTTGCTGCCTAGATTTCTATTTATGTTTTTACATGCAAAGTTCAGAAGACATCTCACAATCGAGTACAAATGCCATCTTTGTTTTGCTCTTTTTGTGGATTACTTTGTGTCCAGAATACAAAGAACATGAATTGAATTTCATAATTCTCTCCATATTCTCATAACTAGATCTTGTTTCTATATGTTCTAGATCCTCTTTCTGAGGAACAAGTCGAATAAAGTCATTGTACAAACACACACACACACACACACACAGCAGTCTTGGGAAAGTTACGCTTTGTGACTGCATCACATCATGGGAAAGCTCCAGTTCAGTTGCCGTGAATGTGCACGGTGATCATATTGCTGTCAAAGTACAACAGGATAGCTCTTCACAAGATCTAGAAAAAACATATTGAACAGCTGAAGTAAAAAATAGGTACTATGTAGTATGGCTAACTTAATTAACTAAACTTGGTTAACTAAATAAAGTAAAAAGTAAAGAGATTTTAATAAAATAAAATAAATAATATAAATACACAGGGTGTACAACTGAACCATCAATTGAGTAAAAAAAATAATAATTAGATGCCCTTTGACACAACACCCAGTGGGAGGTTGCAGCGTGTGTGCTGTAAATGACCCATAGTGGATGTTTCTAAGCTCCAATGATTTTATCACTGAGACAATCACACTAAATATGAGAAAGGAGCAACGGTTGCTGTTACAGTGACAAATCCTACCCTGAGCTGCTTCTATTTGTGTTTACTTTCAGTCAGACTCACAGACAAGCGTTGCTTCATAGTCATACAGTTTGTTCTGATGCACCTTGTTTTGCGTATCTCTACAACAGATAGAAATAGGCCAGGAAATAGGCCAGGAAATATGCCAGGAAATATGCAACCAAATGGAGGTTTTTGTCAACCGCTTTAAACTGACTATGAGTGGGCAAAAAGTGTTCAAAATTAAAATGTATTTCTGGTTTGAGCTTTTTCGCGATCCCAGGTAGGCTGAACTTTCAACGAGATACAGCCCACAGTGGTCACCAAAAGCTGTGTTAGGGTTTAAGGTTAGGGTTGGTTACCACATAGCCAACCTGGGGCCAGGTATATCTGCATAGAAACCTATATAAACAGCAAAGAGAGCAGAAAACAGCAGGGATGGTTAATGAAGGCCCTGACCCAAAATCTGTACACTTGTTCACTTCAGGACGATATCATCCGGGTAAAGACAAACCAGATCCCAAGACATGGAAGGCGAATTTCCGCTGTGCCTTAAATTCTCTGCCTGACATCTGTGAGCTGCAGGAGCACAGCAGGAAGAGAGGCAGCAATGCCTACAGAGTCTACAGGATGATGCCCAGCACACAAACACACAGACGCAGGAGAGGTAAGACATTCCTTTAAAATGTATTTAGTACTTCGAACATATCCTCAACAGTCCTCATGTGACAGCACTGTCCTCTCTACTCTCAGGGCTCCGGTTGTTCAGCAGGGCTCGAGAAAGACAGGCGAGTTTAGGTGATGATGCATACACCACGCACACTTGGCAACCCACCACAGTGAGACCCATTTCAGACACACCACAGAAGGTGGAGACCCATACAGAAGACACATTTGGACACACTGAAACACACGGTGAGACGCTTGTTGTTACAAAGTATGTTGTTGTTGCTCTCACTGCTGGCCCTGTGAGAATGACTGTTACTGTTGTTGTGCAGGGATGTGGGAGGCCAAACCTGAAGACCAGGAGCAGAACGAGGCTGTGTTCAAGGTATCACACCTTTCATTTACTGACCGACTAAATGCAATGAATATTAGCTTTCTGACCGAATATTGTGTGGTTTTTCCTGTCATGGCAACCTCTGTGGCTTGCAGCAGACAGGTTGAGAAGAGAAAGTGAAGATGAATCCACTTTTTAATCCCAAAAGTTAATTCCTCCATTTCTTTTGAATTCCATGTGTTCGCGCTGCCCAATTTGCGTCATTCGCTTCACATCTTTGTATTGACTTTGCATGTAATCTACTCGCAATTTACATGCAGCATTAGAGATCAGTTGCATATTGATGTGTGCAGTTTGGGTTTTGTAGGTGACGCGGTGTTTCCCAGAATTTTTCCTTATGGAACCCCTTTAATATCATGACCCTTGACTGACATATTTTATATGACATTTCATATTACATACATTATAATAAATAATAACTGATAAACTGTACAGTGAAACCAAACAGTGAATGCAATAACTGCAGGAAGTTTGTGTAAAATGAGCAATTTGTATGAATTCTGAGCAGATTATTTCCTGTGAGCAATCAGAGATGAGGTTTCCTGATATGTTTAGGATTTTTTTACACAGTTCTCTGTCTGTATGCTTTTTAAGAATCATACATACTTAATAGACTTTTTTTTTGTACAAATGTATAGTGTTTGACTAGTGTAAGACTGTTTAGCAGACAGTGAAGGCTCTATCAATATAGCTTGTGTTTAGGTCTTTAGTTTAGATCTTCTAAACTAAAAAAATCTAAACTTTAAAAATAACAATTTCATTTAGTTTTCCTCACAGAAATGAACAAAATGCTTAGATATTGATTTTTTAAGTTTTTTTTACACCCCTTAAAATCAAGAAGGTCTCACAGCCCCCTTTGAAGCTTTAGCGATCCCCAGTGGAGGTCCCAAGGCCCAGGTTGGGAACCACTGCTCTAGCTGTCTGACTGACTGTGAGTATTTTGTCTCCCGTAGCTAATGGACCACTTAAGCAATGCTGACCTTTGGAACCAGACTGGGGAGCAGCGAGGATGGAGAACACACACACTGTGGGACCACTGGCACTGTACGACACTTTACATATACAGTATATATTGTCTGTGTGTATTAGGACTCATATTTGGCTGACAGTTTCAGGATTTCTTCAAATAATTGATCGATTGAGAAAGATCTGCATCAGTAGCTAGTATTAAATTTCATTTGTATAGCACAAAATAATAACAAAATTTATCTCAGGACACTTTTTAAATAGTGCAGGTCTAGACTGTACTGCTTATCAACAGTTCCCACAATGAGAAAGCACTTGGCTGGAAAAAGAGAGTGAGAGAGGCAGGGAGGGAGGTACAGAGTGGGAGGGGGTTGGGGGGTAAAGAGAGAAAGACAGAGATAGAGACAAATATGCACAGCAGGAACAATTATTGTGAGAACAATTATTATGGGAAAGACCATGATCACATCAAATAAAGTTTGTTTCCCAAGACCACAAAAAACTGTTATATATGCCAAATGCTTGCTTGAATGTGTGTATGTGTGTGTGTGAATAATCACATGGCCCCTGTTGTAAAATAATATAAAATTAAAATCCAGTAATGTTTTAATAATATCTTATTCCCATTTGTTTGTGTCTTTGCATATGAGTTTACATATTGTTTTGTGCTCCTCAGGTGCTGGTGATGATAACCCGTACTCTCTGCACACAGACAACTACAACGATCTGCTTGGTCCAAACTACATCAAGGAGCTCTCTGATTGGTCCGCACATCAGCAAACACTGGCGCTGTAGCTGTGCACCAATAGCTTTATCGGTTTTTGCTTTTCATCTGTTTCCTGCTTTCTTGCTAACCTTCGACTGTCTTTCCCTCCTGCTGTCTGCTGAGCTGACCGCTGAAAAGTAGAAACAAGAGAGGAGGGATCGGACAGAGAATATTGCTCTGTCAGTCAGTTGCGGTCATCCTCTCTGCTGAGCATGCTGAGATGAAGATCCTGTTCCAAGCCAAGCTTTACCTCTGTCATCATCACTTGGGTTCACTATGGTTCAGTGCCTCAAACTCCCTGAAACGACACCAAGCTCACACCCCAGCGTACAGAGTAAACAGATCTCATTTCACTTCCGTGCAGGATCAGTGATTGCTCTGTGTCTTTGAGTTTAGCCAACATACAGGGAATGAAGTTCAGGACATTTGGCTTTAACAGTTTGTAGGTTTGTGTTTATATGTGAGTGGAGTTCAAAACTCCCATGTTTACTTAAATTGCAATACATATATTTTTGTCTGTATATATGTGTTTGATTCATTTCCCTTTATGCCTTTGATTTTACTACTTTTATAAATAAAGATTTCTCCAAGAGATGCTCATGACAAAAAAAAAACGTATATTTTCATTTTTGAGACAACAGATGGTGCAGTTTGTTTTCTTGTGATATTGTACAAACTTATTTTTTTTTGTTTTGTATTTTTAAATTCATCCTGCATTTACAGTATGAAAAAGCAACTTAAGCACCTTACCTTACAACCAGTGTGTATGTATTTGTTTGCCATGTTTTTTTTTTGTTTCAGACACTTATTGCACATGAATCCACATATTGTAAAATGATTATGGTAATTGGCAGTGAGAGATCAGTGACTCCCAGTTCATTTGACTACAAAAAGCTAAAAAACCTTTGGAGGAACGGAAGGTGGTGGCTTCAGACTGTGCTTGTGTCTATCGCTTCAATCAAATCTATACCCAGTAGGGGAATAAATTATCCACTATCATTATTACATGATGATAATAAGAAGCCTACCTGTAGTGTGTCTTTATTTTTTACTGAGTTTATTTATTTACTGTCTTTTTAAGAAAGATATTATCAACACAACCTTCATGAAGCCTGCACTGTACCCACTATGGCAGTGCCTGGAGAGAAGTAATTGGATAAAATATTAGATAACATTTGTTCTGAGTGCTTCACTAATCACCCAGTTTGGTAAGACTCGCCCTGTGAAATCTATTCTCTTTAGTTTGACTGCAAAAACACTGCTTTTAAAGGCTGCTGACAGCTCAACATATGTGGAATAATATACGTATATGAGGAATGAGGTTAATATAAATGAGGATATTTCGTTTCATATGAAACTACACTCAATGGAAGTGAATATAGTACAGTTTCATATGAACACAGTCATACTTTATTCATTATTACAGCCTAAACCTATTTAACTAAATAGGCCGTATATCTTCACACCAGTCACTTGTACTTTACAGGCCTTTTTCCATGGTAGATAGTTTGACTTGTCATAACAGGAGAAGCACAGGAGGAAATAAGAACACACATTTCGGCTCTCTTTGAAGTAACTCCATTCCAGGGTGTCACTGTGCACTATGAGTGACATGGCTGAATGTAACACAGCCTATAATTACAGTGTGTAATTGTTAGTTTGTTTTAAATAAGCCGTTGAGGCCTTAAGAGGAATTTTCCATTATTTCACAAAAACAAAAGATGAAATTAAAGATTAAAAAGGTTAAAACAGATGCCCCAGATTGATCTGGTGAAGCTTAGGAGGAGCCCCGACCCCCAGTTTAAGAACCACTGGACTAAAAATACAACTTATACGTTGTTAACAATATAATACCTAGGTAGGACTTTGAAAACATAACTTGTAGTGGAGTATTAACACAATAAGTAAAGGCGATTTACAAGAATACTTTTATATTTTTACTGTTTGTTTATGCTTTCTCAATCCATCCATCCCTCACAGAATAGATGTGGAGCTCAGGCCTGAAGTGAAAACATGGAACACACAGCTGGTCAAACATCAACATTGAACATTTATTTCTCATTTTTTATTCTGAAAAATGCAGAAAAGAGACAGATGAATTTCCCTTAAAGTAGGAACTACATTATTAGGCAGTTCCTGAGGAAAAAACAAAACAAAGAAACAATGCTCCGACTCGTCTTTCTCATTGGTATACAGAAAATATGTATGACCCTAAATACATATAAACCATGGATCCATTACTTTTATGCTATGTATTTACAGTTTCATCATAAAATAAGTCCTATGACAGGAATCCTATAAGGAAACATTTTTTAAAGTCACATTCAACCAGTCCACTAGCACAGCCTGCTGGTCACATAATATACTGCAATCCCAGTATGTCTGCACATACTACAGCATGTAGCCCAGAGCTGGAAAAAAACAAACTAGTCTACACATATGTGGATATCTTTTTTACACAGGAATTACTACAGAAACATTTAAAGAGGAACAGATGTGACAATATTTTAGTCTGGTGAAACACATTATTAAATCTGTGAATGTCTGGAAAGTGGCTACCAGCAGTTTTAAGGCTGTAAATTATATGAGAAAAGTGACCAATATCAATCAGGTATTTACGTCGCCTGGTACATACACCGAATATTTCATTCTTGTATCATAAATATGACAATAGCACTCATTTAACACCGGTAAACACAGACTTTTGCTTGACTTTATAATACAACCATGTTCTGCTGTTGGAATAGTAAATCATATGATGTACATGGAAGACAAATAATCACGTTTTAATAGATCCAGGCCTGCTGGTGATTTATAATCACTGTTAATAGTGATGAGCAGTGTGTACATGACAAACACTACAGAACCCCAAGTAGAAGGGGTTGTGCGTTTAATAATCATACTGCACCTGCTCTGTCACTATCTGCTGATTTCATCAAGGTATTTTCAGTGGAGCCTGGATCATAAATTTGGACCACAAACGACAACAATGACTCTAGTCTGATCACTAAGACAACCGACAACCAGATCAGGCAATAAGAGCTGCACTTATTCACTTTTCCTTAAGATAGGAAAATTAGATCTCCTTGAAATAGGAGGGTAGGGGTTTGCACAAACTGGGTGTGATTCAACATAGGGGGTCAAATGGGGAGTTAATACCTTTTATATTTTTGTTTTTGACAGAATCATTTGAACATCACATGGGAACATCTTTTAACAATAAAGCAACTGAAGCCCAAACACTGCTACAAATGAGGGTCACAATGTGGGTCAATGTGATTTAATAGCATTTGTCAGCTTTAAGAAGTCCAGCATTCGAGACTACCGGACCTCCGGAGGGACAAAATTGTCTCAAATTGTGTGTCAGCCAAGGAGCGAGAAATACTCTAAAAAGTCATGAAAAGACACAATCTGCAAAACAAACTGTGCTGGAAAAAATGGACCGCAGCTACAACTAAACAAAAAAATGGATATGATGGACATACCGTAGGTAAACTACAGGTTTGAGAATACTGCTAACTGTATCAAACTTGACCCACATTCATGGCAGTGTTTGCAGTGGTGGGGATTTCTTCCAAAGTTTGATTCTTGATCTACTGTTGGTATACAAGCCTTGAAAAAAAATTAAAAAACATTAATCATCTAGAAAGCACTAAGTTCAGTATTTGCAGCTTCAAGCTGCCATATGAGACTAATAAAACAAATAACGAACATGACTTCAGAAGGCAGATTAGGAAGTTCATAGTTTATTAAAATTCTATATGGTTCAATCTAAATGAGTATAAAAAAAACAGTTGAAATCAATGCGTAATTCCTAAGCAAGTGTAAGTGAGTGTACAATGTATGATCCAGTGTACTCTACTCATTTCAAGTTTATTACAAGACAGCAATCTTCAACCCTGAAAGCAACTCAGAGAATCATGAGTATTTCTCAGAATAAAACAATGAACATATCGATGTTTGCCTTGCCGCCTCTACCTGTCCTTTGATAAACCTCTGAGAATAAAGAAGGAAACTGAATGTTCCAAATCTCCAGCGTGGCCCAGCCACCATGAGGTCCGTTAACGAATCAGATAATAAATACAGGCATTCAAATGGGCTTCAACAGCAAAATATTTTTGATACTATTTTCCTCATGCATACACTCAAGCATACGTCTGACTGAGATTATGAGCTTTCTAAACCCTCTTATCTACTCTTTAACAGTTACTCTTTACAGTGCAACAGTATGGCAGCAAATGGATAGCAGTGCTTTCATAAAAAAAAAAAAAGAATGGAAAATAAAAAATATATACAACATCATGGAAAAGCAGTAGTTTCATCTTTTGGTCCTGCGTCCATTACAGACAGAACTGCTTTTTGAAAATGCTTCCCCGTATCAACAACAGTAGTTTCCACAAGACTGTGAAGGGCTGCGGGGAAAAAGTGGAACAGATGTTAGGATCTTAACTGCGACTGATAGCAGGGGTGTGGCTTAAGCCCTCATCACACAATTTTACCATCAAATCTGAGACTGTTTTGGTCAAAGCCTGTCATTTTTGTTCCACCCACTGTTTGATATTGTTGGGTTGAATCTGTTCAGGCACCTGAAGGGTGACCGTGTTCAAAAATAAAACAAGTGCAAGTGACCATGGCAACATCCAGTGGGAGTTTAAATATAAGGCAGGGTGCAACATTAACAGTCAACCAGCTGCCTGAGGCCGGTAGAAAGCAACTCCACTGACCAGGCCAGTGTAAATAACAAATGAAAAACACATCATTTTACTGGCAGCTGAGTCACTGTCACAAGGAAATAGAAGTGGTTATCAGCACAACAAAGCTAATCAAGAGGGAAAAGGGCATTCATTCCTTCATGGAGGGAGGGATAAATTCCCCCAATAAAACATGACTATACAACGGCACAGAATAAAAGTGTGCCGTGTGGCATTTCAATAGTTTCCTTTTAAAGCCACACAACACACGCTTGTTGTGTGTAAGCATGAAGCATGATTTGCCAAAATGAGTTATAACAGAGGATGGGTGGAGTCACGTAGGGGATTTATTTGTAGCTAGCTGGCAAGTCTTCAAAGGGTGTTTTTTTCTCATCAATATCAAAAGTGTAAAGGCTAAAGGCTCCAACTATATTTCTGCTTACAGCACACAAGACAGAGGAACTACTTGTTTGCATGGCAAATGACCTTCTCACATACTGCAGGTTACTCATCAGTGTTTACCACGAATGCTGCAGTGCTCTGGTGAATGTTGCTAAAGAATATTTTTGCATGTTTAGATCACAGTTTTACATAAATCTGTAAGCAATTAAAATTCCCCTCAAAAACAAACTTGACCTTTAGCAGTATGAAACAGCAATTTGCATAAAACGCATCTAAGCCCGGCTCTACGGCTTTGAGGTAGTGAAAATTCAGTGGCTGAATATCAGTTCCGCTCAGAAATGAAATAATCTCTCACCTTGTTACAACTGAGAACCTTCAGACCCTCCGTGCGTGTAGCCCCCTTTAGATTTCATCTGAGCCTGAACAAGGTCCACCTGGAAATATCAAGGGGTAAATGTTAGCAGACTGAAGACGTTTATGTTTGTTTTACTCTGTCGGTTGAATAA